TGGTTGGTTTAAGGAAAACCGGCCCCCGGTTCCTGAAGCAGGGCAGAAATAAATAAAGGTTAGGGACGTCTCGGGCAGTTATCGCCGCGTTGAATCCCTCCGTCTGCAGAAGCGATCTCCCACCGGGTATAGTAACCGGCGGTAATCGATAGTCAAAAGTTGGGCGCCGGAGAGCGACAAATCGCCCGCCCATGCTTCTCGATCGTTGAGCAGCGCCCGCGGTGCGCGCGCGCCGCGGCGTTGACCAACGACCGCGCCACTGAAGCCTCCCGCCCCGCGCGCGGCGCTCCGCATCGAGGCCGCCCACCGGCGCAGCAATCGCATTGCGCACAGTTGGGCGTCGCCCAGAATGCAGGGAAGGCCTTGGCGCTTATCGCCAGCCAGACTGACTCGGCCGCTGGCAGGCGGGCCGACTGCGCGCTCCGAGCACGCGGCCCGGCATTTTCACACAGGCCCGCCAGCCGCCGCGCAGCTCTGGAGAGGTAGCTGGCGTTGCGCTGCACTGCTTGAAGCTGCTGTTGAGCCTCGCCAACAATTGGAGCTGCCCCGCCCGCCGCCGCGAGCGCCGCGCCGTGGCCTCGTTCTCTGGAGAGCCCCAGCACCACCCCTCGCGGCCACTCGCACCGTTGCAGCAGCTCCGACCCCGCCACTCCGGCTCCCGAGCGCGCGGCGAGCAAGAGGAAGAGCACGCGCATGGGCCAAAATCCGTTACTCAATTTGTTTCTCGTTTGGTTTTTTTCTTTCTTTCTTTCTTAACAAGGTCTGTGAACAGAGTTGCCGTCGCAACTCGAGATGGGAGAGTTCACGCGGATTAGGCTGGGGACTGAGCTGGGGAGACAGAGGCGTTTTGATGCGAGTGGATGCAAAAGAACGCCATCGCCATCGCCATCGCGAGTCGGACTGGACACCAATCAACGGCAACGCGGTATGTGGGCGGCCTAGACCTAGCCAGATAGGGGGTCTGTTCCCACTGAGTCGCGCCAAAACGCCCTACCTTACCTACTTAATGCGGGCGCCAACCGCCAGGCTCCGTGCCCCACCTACCTACCTATTGCGGGGCCGCGCAGCGAAGCGAAAAATACCCGTTGAGCCAAGAGCCCTTCTGTGAATAGGCGGCGCCGCACCCGTTTCGGCTGGCGTCCCAGCCGCAGGCGACACGTCTGGCATGGCCCCGTTCGCGGCTAAACGCGCCGTCTCCCGCGCGAGCGAAGCGGTTTTTTTACCCCCCCCCCCCCCCACACACACACACCACCACCACCTACCTACCTATTGCGGGGCCCTCTGGGGCGGTCAAAACCGGACCTGCCTACCTATCTGCGGAACTGGGAGTTTACCTTGTGCAGGGCGTGAGCTGCCGCCGGACCCGAGGCGTGAACCACCGCCTTGGGCCCGTGAACCGGCGATATGCAGCGTGTTCTGCAGCCTTTGACGCAGGTCGCAAGAAGAGCGACTGCCACTCCCCGGGCCGGGTCCTGGCGAGCGGGCGCATGGCACCCGACGCTCTGCCATGACCTCCGGGAGGTTGAGTGGCGACCTCGGTGAGGTTTACTTAGTTCGTTCTACGGAGTGACAGCACCTCCGGGCGGTATTAGAACTTTGATTGTTACTCAAGCCACACAGAACACCCGCTTACTAGCCTACTTTTCAGCGTTTCCGGGCTCGCAAAACCCGGTGGGTGCAGCGGCGCAAGACCTCTCGGAGGTCGCAGGCCGACCTCGGGGAGGTCGGGGAAAAACCCCCGTTCGGCTATCTACTCGCTCCCCAACTATCACAGACACTACGGCTGTCACGGGAGACCCACAGTGGCTACTGAGACTGTTCACACGTGACGTTCACACCTGGGGGACCAGGGTGTATCCGCAACTCGCGCAGCCTATTGCACAGGGGGCCAGCCAGTGGGAACAGACCCCCTATCTGGCTAGGGGCCGGAACCCTGCACGAGCAGGATCTTGGAACACTGACCTTGTTGCGTTGACGGCGGGGGCCCCTTTTCTGTTGCGTTGAACGCGCGAGCTTCCTTTTCTTTCCAAAGAGAAAATAACGACAACGCAGCGCCATGCTCGGTGCTCTCGGCGTCGATCGCCGCCCGGCGACTATCTCCACCATCTCCGTGCCGGGCATGATGTGCGGCGGCTGCGCTTCGGCCGTCACCTCTGCCCTCTCGCTCCCTGGCGTGGTCGATTGCAGCGTCGACCTCGCCGCAAAGCGGGTGTTCGTAATGGCGCACGCAGACGGCCCAGCCTCCGAGGAGCTGATCACCGCCCTGGAGGCGAGCGGAAAGGAGGCGACGCTCATCTCGCGCACAGAGATCTCGCCGCTGCGCGTGTGGGCCGGCCAGCACTGGCACCTCCTCGTTGTGGCGACTGCGCTCGTGCCGCCGTCTCTCGCCCTCATGCTGCGCGGCGGCGGTGGTGGCGCCGCCAGCGGAACAGGCGGCGACGCGGCAGGCGGCTCGCTGCGTGCCTCGCTCATCGACTGCACCAACAACCTCGTCGCTTCTCGCGCCGCACCGCTCGCGCAGAGGCTGCTGGATCTGTTTCGCAAGGTCTCGGTGCCACTCATGCGCCAGCTGCCCGTCGCCTCGTCCACCTCTCAAAGCCAATAGCACACTCACTGGGAATCGGAGGGGACGGCGGGCCGCCAGGGGCAGTCCATTGACGGCTGTGGGAGCGCTCTCCAGACTCCACGCCAGTTCCGTGCCGGCTCCACAGCGGTGCGCCTGAGGACGATATGATCAGAATTATTTTCTCCTGTCGGCGCGCCGACAGGAGCTTTAAGGTTGCTCCCGGCCCAGTGGGGATTTCGGCCTACTCAGTGATCGTCTAAGGGGCCCTAAATGGCCTGCAATGCCATATCTTTTGTGCCTAGGTTGTAGAGCACCTCAAAAAACTAGTATGTAGTAAATAAATAAATAAATAAAACGGACACCTCTACTAGGAGATGGGTAAAAAGGAACAGGTCCCCGCCCTTGCGATCTTTGTGCAGGGTTCTTTGTGGGTGTGGTCGGCGACTAGCCGGGGTCGTCTTCCCGATGGGGGACTAGCACTAGCCGTCTTCCACATGGTCCCTCGGGTCCCTGCTGCTCCTAATCTCTTCGTACATCCTCCTGCTGATCTCCGCAACGTCCTGCTCCCTCCCTCGTCTCGCCCTGCGCGACTGCTCCGCCTCACCGTCGTCTGCCCTGCGTCGTCTGGCGACGGGACCTCCATAGTCGGTTGAGGTCGCCGCCCTCCTCGTGCCTCTTCCCAACGTTCCCTCGGCGGTCGATGCCGTCTGGTCCGCCTCCGCCGTCCCCGGGTCTGACCTGCCCTCGTCTGCACTAGCTTCTGTTTCGTCATCACTGGCGCCTCTCCTCTTCTTTCTCCTCTTCTTGTATGCTTTGTACATTGCGTCGATTCCTTTTCGCGTGAGCACCACCCTGAAGCTCGCCCAGCAGCGGAACCGCTCCCTAAGTCGAAGGAGCATCATCAGTCTCACCCACTTCGCTCGCTGCCCACTGTCTCCGCTCCCTCCCGCTTGAGCTGCCGTCGCGGTCCTCGTTCGTCCCGCTGGCTGCTGGCCTGTCTGCACGTTGCCTCCGTTATCCCTCCTCCTCCGCGACTCCCTCAAGGCCGGGCGGGCCTCCTTCCACCCAGCGAAGAGCTTCCTCAGCCACTCGATGTGTTCCTCTCTCTTCATTATGCGCGCCGTAGCCTCATCATTGAGCTGTATCCACCTCTGCACCGCTCCCGTCGCCGCCTCGGCCACGACTTGCAGGTTCCTCGTGACCCCGGTGCCAAGGTCCCTTCGGCTCTTCTCCGAGAGGTCATCTACCAGTGCTGGCAACACCCCCCCGACTGCGGGGGCTAGTGTATCGTACCCGTCCTCGTCCAGCACCCTGTAGCGTGAGCCCTTCAGCGCAGCGACATGCGCCATCCTCAGCGTCTTCAGCGTATCCTTGGAGTCGGGTGGTCTTGGAGTGAAAAGTTTTTCGAGGAGGTGGGGGTCCGTGGTGAGCCGATTCCCAGATTCTCCAGATTCCCCCTCGAAAACCGCCCCTTTTAATTCACTGCGGCCGCGTGCTTGCTCGGATTACTTTTCACTCGAAGACATAAGTAGTTTTTTGGTGTTACGGTGCCTACAAAAAATATCCGAGATCATATGGAGCTGACCACAGGGTTTGCGGCGATCACTGTCCTACCAGCGGGCACAGTGGGCCGCGGACACCCGTGAATGACCTTAAGTGTAAGGAGTCGGTAGAGATATCGTGTATATGAACGTTCTTCCGTGATTGCGCTCGATGACACAATGTGTGCGCCGCGAAAGCCAAAGCGAGAGAAGAAAGAAGCCGGCAGCGACACGCGGTTGGCCACACACGGTGCCACAGCCCCGCCGAGCATCTCCGAGGGCGAGAGAGAACATGCAGACTCGAGGAGACACACCGCTCACCGCTCGCACCGTGCTCACACACGTCACAGCGGGACGATTGTGGAAGCTGACGCGGGACGGAAGAAAGAGGTGTAACACCCTGGCAACACCGCGCGCACGCCTTGAGCGCCGTCTGAACGTCCTGGACAACGCCATGCCACGCAAAGCAGCAAGAGCGGCGTGCCATCTCGCACCCGTGCCGTCCTAGCTCGACTGCGTCGCCAGCCTGGGCCGCTGAGAGTGGAATCTCCTGACTTCTAAGTGGAAGTCAGCTTCCTTCGACGTGAGATCGCACTGAATGGGGGAGCTTGCTAATTCAGGCTCTCGTCCGCATCGGGGTCGTACCCAAAGCTCACACCCTCCAGAAAGTCCACATCGCCGATCAACGCCCTCCAGAAAGACCGGTCAATGGCAGCAAATACTCGTTTCAGCCTCGACGGCTGCGCCGCCTTGCGCCGAGCCAACAGCGCCCGTGCCGCCTCCCTCTTGGGCGCTAACAGCCTGTCCAGCTGATCATGCAACTCTCTGCAGCTGGCCGCGAGATGCACCACCGGAGCGATGCCACACCCTCCGGCCACCTTCTCCAGTAGCTCGGGCGGGAGCGCGAGAAGCAGCGACCCATGGCTCGGTCCGTTGCTGGCACCGGCGCTTTCGAACACTCGGCAGCTAGTGATGCAGCGGTCTCTGTCGCTCAACATAACCAGCCGGCATACCATAGCCGAACGTTCGCCGAGACGTGCGTCCACGGCGGCTGTGTTTTCTTTTTCCTAGTCTCCTTCTGTCACTGTATCTTTATCTCCCATCAAATATCTCTCCTACTCTCCCTCCCCACAAGTCGGTGGAGAGGTACTTTAGGCCACTGTCGCAGACGACGCACGCCACCGTGCCTCCCGCGTGGGCTCCGCGCAGTATTTGCACCGCCGCCGCGACATTGGCACCGCCGGAGAAGCCGGCAAAGACGCCCTCAAACCGCGCGAGTTGGCGGCACGTCTCCGCCGCCTCGGAGGAAGACACCTGTTAGGGATGTGGCACTGCTGTCCACGTGGCAGCTCGGCGACGTCTCGGCGATGCCTCGGGCCTGCAGGTAGCCGTCAGGCGGCTCGGCGGCGGCGAGCGGCGTGAGCGCCGCCATCGCGTAGCCTCCACCTACTCGCCTCTGGTCTTGCGTCATCAGCGTCGACGGTCCTTGTTCGGCTCAACTGGCCCACCTTGGATCTTGTGCGGCGCGGCGGCGTGTGGCGCGTCATTGCCGGCGAGCACCGCGGCGCCCTGCGGTTCGACTACATAGCAGCGCACGCCGGGCAGCTCGCGCCTAGAATGTTGGGCCTCGGCTGCGTCTCGGCTGCACACGGGACTCATCTGGGTGGCCCGCCGGAGTCTCACCGCAGCGCGGTCGCAACGCCGGCAAAGGTGCCGCCGCTGCCGACAAAGTCGACAAAGGCGTCGATGGAGAGGCCCGCGCCGCGGGTCTGAGCCAGAAGCTCCGGCCCAGTATGCTGCAGGTGCGCACGCGCGTTGCCGCCGAGCTCAAACTGGTCTGCTCGGAAGGCGCCACGCTCCGCCGCCAGCGCCTCCGTCACCTCGGACACGCGGCGGAGGTCTGCGCCCGACACCTGGCCGGGAAGTGACCCCTCGCACTGATCGACGAGCACGACCTCGGCCCCGAGGGCTCGCATCATCCGCGCGCGCTCGGCAGAATTGCCGCGCGACATGACGGCAACGAACGGGTGGCTGAGCGCCGCGCATACGATAGCGAGCCCGGTGCCGGTGTTGCCGCTCGTCAGCTCGACGACCGGCTGGCCCGGCGCGAGGCTGCCGTCCGCACGAGCCTCCTCGATGATCTGCCTCGCGATCCGATCCTTCTTGGAGAAGCCCGGCGAGAGGTATTCGAGCTTGGCGACGAGCCGCCCCTGCAGGCCGAGATGCGCAGCGAGCCGCGAGAGCTCGACGCTGGGGGTGCCGTGGATGGCGTGCATGGCGGAGGGGAGGACGGTGCTCACACAGCGAGCCTTCCTGGCTCCCTGATGCCACCTGTAGAGTGGCCGTAGTCGGTGCCGGTGCATCAGTCGTTTCCGAGGCTGGTGGAACAAGCGACCCGGCTCTTCCACGACAAGGCGCGGGCGGGTCTGACCGTGCACCGCGCTGCGAGCCTGTCGTGTCCCTTGTCAGGAGCAGGAGAGCCCCACCTGTGCCCCTGATCGTCCTTCCAATCCTGCTCGTGCAGGTGGGGACCCTGTCCTCCTCACCCTTCTTTCTTTCTTTCTTTCTGCCCGTCGGGTAGGGGTTGACTGCTCTATTTATTTAGTTACACTAGGCACGGGACTGGCGCGCGTGAAAATTTAAGAATTTTGCTGCCTCCTTGACCCCGTTGGGTGGGCCACGCCCACGGTGACTAGGGATTGGACCTTCGTTCTTTGCTCGCCAACAAACAACGGCGAAGCGAGTCCGGGCGGGGCGCTACTGCGCCTCGCCCCGGGCAGCGCCCACCCAGAGGCGCCGCGGGTTTCTGTGCCGGCGGCTGGCCTCTGCAGGGCGCTTAGGGGACCCCTAGGCTTAAAAGGGTGGGCCCTGGGGCGCCTGCGGCTTAAACGGCTTAAAACCTGCCTAGGCCGGTTTTAAGAGCTGCTGGGCCGCCGATTCCTTAAACGGTCTTAAACGCTTAAACGGTGCGGGAGAGCTCCCAAGGTCTCGATGGTCCGGGAGGCCCCCCGGTAGACGCCGGAGGCCGGGAAGCTGGCTACAGTCAGCTAGCACGCGTCCCCTATGCGAGTATGGCTCCTGCCAGTGCACCAGACTTACAGGCGCGGAACCCAGCGACGCATGCTGGTGAGGCCGATTTTCATACGGGTGCTTTGGCAGCTTTCCTATTCGCTGTTGATTTGCGATTTTGGCGCTAGCTCTGGGGCGGCCGTGAGAGCCAGATCCCAGGCAGCGCCGAGGCACCAATGGGACCTCAAGTCTCGACGGGAGGCAGTCGATTATCGGGCGGGAGGGCTCCAGTGTGCCTGTGTGGCGGCCACCTGGTCCCTCTCGCAGGGGAGCCGAACGTCTTTCCTCTCTGTCCTTCGACCATCCATGTACTCCGCGATGGTCAACATCCTTCTTCCCTGCACCGTGTCTTGCGGCCTTCGGTTCAAGTGGCTTTCACCTATCGCTAACGGCCACAGGCTCGACAACTTGCACTTGGAGCACTTGGAGTGCAGTCATTATCTCATTAACCTCACATCCAGGGCCCGGGGAGCTAAGAAGCGCACCCAGCGGGCCGGATGATCGATATCGGGTTGCTGGCAAGAGAGCCCTAGCCCTGGGGGGTGCGCGGTCGCAGGGCCATAACACGGGTCTCCGAGGGTTGGCTCCGTGTACCGGGTTTCCCCTTAACTGCAGAACGCACCCTCTACTCGGAGCTAAAAGAATACTCTCCGAGGGTTAGTCTGCGCTTTGGGTTTCCCCTAGCTGCGGAGCGCCCCCTCTACTCGGAGCTAGTGGACCCGACCCTAGCTAGTGATACGAGAATACGTACCGCCCCCATGCAACTCCTCGACGAGAATACGAGAATACGCAGCTGCGAGACGCCTATAAAGAAACAGCGAGGTAAAGTTCGGCGGCTTATGATAAACCGAAAGTTGTCGTAAAACGCGGGCGAAAGCAAAGCATAGGGCGGGCGCCTTTGCCGCAGCGATGCCCGCAGCCTGTCGAGCAGCTTCCGCGGCGCCCATGCGCCGCGGGGTTGACCGACAGCCGCGCCGCTCGAGCCATCCGTGCCACGCGCGGCGACGCGCACACCGCGCGCCAGTCAGCGCACTGGTAGTACTGCACCAGCCAGCACGGCGTGGAGCAACGTATTGAGGGCATTGTACTGGGCGCCAGCCAGCATGCCTCAGCACAGAGCGAGAGAGCATGTTGCGCACCCTGGCGCAACGTCAGCGCTCGCTCCCAATCAGGCTCTCTCACCGCCGCACAGCGGTCCACGAGCACCTGCAGCTGTGCTGCTCAACGCTCAAGCTCTGGAGCCTCCCCTCGTTGTCACAGCTTTGCGCAGTGCAGCGTGCGAGCAGCGCAGGCCAGGCCGACCTCTGGCACGCCCGGGCGGCCGTGAGACGGAGGCCCGCCGAGCGAGTGCGAGCCGCATCGGCGGCCATGTCTCCCGCAGCCGCGAGCGAGCAGCGCAAAGAGGCATCGCTCGGATTTTTAGAAAGCAGGAAATAAAAAACGCGGGATGTTCGCGCTGAGTTCCGCGCCGGCCGTCGTCGGTGCCGCGCGTGCCGCGTGGTGCGGCATCAGAAGCTGCAAGTCGGCCGTCGATAATGTCAACCGGCTGCGCCGGGCGCCCGAGAAACTCCGGAGCATCGCGGACCTGTGCAGCTGCCTCCTCGAGCCGCTCTCGGTGGCAGAGGCGCTGGCGTCGCGGGAGGCCTCGCTCCGGCTCGTGGTCGCCGCCGTGGCCTTTGCGCGCTCCGCCGTGGTTGCGTGCAACATCCTGCTCGACACGTTCACCGAGGAGGACTCGTGGAGCGACTGGCTCAACTCGGCGGCCAAGCTCGAACAACTGTCGCGTCTGGAGACCCGGCTGGCCAACGCGATGAGCGCGCTGCATCTCGCCCTCTCCGCGTCGGCCCTCTCGCTGCCGCCTCGCGCCGACGGCCTCCCGTCGTGGCAAGGCGCCTTCCGGTACGAGCCACGGGCGTTCGACCTCGCGCACGACGCGCTGCAGAACTTCGAGCAAGGCAGGTACCGCTCGGTCCTCCTCTCGATCGGCGAGCTGTGGCGGCGAGGCATCATGTCGAGCCAGAGCCGCAGCAGAGGGGGCGGGGCGACCGACGCTCTCGAGAAGCTCTTCTCGTGCCGGCTGCGGCTGCACCGCGGCCTGCCTCCTCCCCTCTCAAAGGGCGCGACCACGAGCCGCGGGGTGACGTCGCACCCCTGCAGGGCGAGGGCGGAGGCGTCGCTCGTGGAAGAGGCGGGCGAGTCGGAGGAGGAGGGCGAGGGGGAGGGCGAGGAGGGCGAGGCAGAGGGCGAGGAGGAGGAGGAGGAGGAGGAGGAGGAGGAGGAGGTGGGGCCGCCGAGCAGGCAAGAGGTCGACGAGCGGCTCTTCCTCCGCTTCAGCCGCCTCGAGCCGGGCCCCGACGGCGAGGTCGACGAGCTGCCTCCGCTCGAGCTCGACGCGACGGTCCGCCTCCGCAGGCTCTGGTCGCAGGAGCTCGCCGAGGAGCTGCCCGCCAGTCACGGGGGCGCCTTTCTCGAGGCTTTGCCGGTGGAGCTGCAGGCCGCTCGAGGCGCGGGCCCACCCCCAACCCGTCTGCTTGGGCCGGTAGGTGGTTGGCGGTCCCGGTGTCATCGTGTACGAGATTCAGCCCTCGAGGCGGAGCCAGCCGACGGCGACGGCGGCGGCGCGGCCGCTCGTGCTCGCCTTCCAGTTCGGCGGCCGCTACTCGGCGGAGGCGTTCGAGGCGCTCGTCGGCCTCGCGGCGGCGACGCGGCAGGTGAGGGACGGCCGCACGAGCCGGCGCTGCACCTCTCGCAGCGCCGTGGACGTGTACGACCCGGACCGGCCGGCACCCTTCGTGCACGCGCTCTCCGCGGCGGGCTGCAAACTGCTCGGGCTGCCGCCGCAGGGCGGGGCGGCGACGCGGGCGGACGCGGCCGCGCTCGCCACGCCGATGAGGGGGCTGGCGCTCGGGAGCCCGTCCGAGCGGGCGACGACGTGAGCCGGAACCCAAGGGAAAGAGGTTAGGAAACGAAAGAAAACAGACAGCCAAGCCCGCTCCAAGGCGCAAGGCCTCAAGGCCTGAAAAGGCGGCAAGGGAGGGAAGAGAGATGCAGATGGGCGGAGAACGTCGCACACCAAATTCCTTGGAGTACTTGGAGGAGTGCAGTCGGCAGCTCACACCCAGGGCCGTAAGAAGCGCACCCAGCGGGCCGGATGAGCGGGATCGGGCTACGAGCAGCAGAAAGAAAGAAAGAAAACAGACAAACCCAAACGAGGGATGGGATGACAGACAAACCCAAACGAGGGATGGGATGGGGAGGAGGACAGGGATCAGGGTCGAGCAGCAGAAAGAAAGAAAAAGAGCGCAAACACACAACCCGAGGGAGGGATGGGAGGAAAACGCCGCGGCACGCGGCTTGGAGCAGGCTTGGAGTGCAGTTGGCAGCCTCATTTCCACAGCGGCTCCTTTGAGTTTTTTGCGCAGCGCGGCTGGGTGCACCTGCTGGGTTCCGGCTCCTACCCAGATAGGGGGTCTGTTCTCCACGACTCGCACCAAAACGCCCTACCTACCTACCTATTGCGGGCGCCAATCGCCAGGCTCCGTGCCCCACCTACCTACCTATTCCCAGGCCGCGCAGCGAAGCGAAAAAATACCCGTTAGCCCTCTGTGAATACCCGTTAGTCTCGGCTGGCGTCCCAGCCGCAGGCGACTCGCCTGGCATGGCCCCGTTCCGGGTAACGCGGGGCCCGTTTCCCGGGCAAGGGAAGGGGTTTTTTTATTTCCCCCCCCCCCCCCCCCCACCACCACCACCACCACCTACCTACCTACCTATTGCGGGGCCCTCTGGGGCGGTCAAAACCGGACCTATTGCAATACCTACCTATTGCATAGGGTCTAACCGTGGACCACAGACCCCCTATCTGGGTATAGGAGCCGGAACCCTGGGACCATGCCGGGCCGCTCCAGTCTGGACAAGCCGCTGTTACCACCCGTGGTGGCGGGCGAGCCGCTCACGGACTCGGCGAGGGCGCACGGGCTCTGGGAGCCGTTGGCAGCTATCCCGGCAGGCGCGCGGTTGAAGAGGCGAGACGGTGAGCCGCTCACGGATAGTGAGTACGTGCTCTGGGAAGGCAGCACCTGGGAGCGGTGCTGCTGGCCTTGCTGCTGCTGTGCGCCGTGCTGCTGCGTCGCCTCTCACTGGACGCTGACGAGCCGGCGCTTCGACAAGCGGCACGGCTGCTGTGGCATGTCGGAAGACACGCTCGACCTGCGGCGCATTGCAGACGTGCACTTCGACGCGGGCGCCTTCCCATGTGCGTGCTGCGCGCCGCCCTGCCTGAGACCTCCTCCAGAGGCCGAGCTGATGCGCGGGCCGTGTTGCTGGCAGGCTGCCTGTGCACGGGCGTAGTGCGGGTCTTTGCGCCTGCCGACATCGACGCGGAGGAGGGCGGGCTAGTCGTAGACACGTACGACGCGAGGACGCTCTTCTCGCGGCTCAAGTTCGCTTGGACGCAGGCGAGTGCTAAGCTGCTGCTCGTTCACACCAATGAGGCCGCCTCACGCTCACAAACTCTGATCTCGTCGCACAGGCGAGCGCCGCGGCGATCGGTGTGGAGAGGCATGGAGGCGGCGGCGATGGCGGCGACCACCACGCGGCCTGACTGCGCCAGAAATCGCAACTCCTGCCCTTGCCTTGACTGGCTCTGAGTCTAGGCGACCTAGTTTTTGCTCACAGTACCGCCAGGAGTCGTTTACTAGCCATCCTCACCGCTAGCGCTAGAGCCGTACGCTTTTTGATTCCTCCACTCGAATCGTGAAGTCAAACTAGAGCTCTCTGTCAGCACCCCGCGGCTGCAGTGTAGAGCTCTACATGTACTACCTATGCGCACAATGATCGCGCACCAACGTACTGACGTAGAAGAATCATCCGGCCGTGGCCCGTGCGCTCAACCTCGACCAACCTGTATAGTGGTGGGCGTAGAGGCTAGAGCGGGCTCCACAGCCAGGGGAGAGGAAGACGAGAGACACAGACTGCACTTAAGCTAGGAGGATGCGTGGCTCTGAGACCGCTGCTCCGCGGCGACCGCTCTGCCCAGGCAGGGCTCGAGACCGTGCGCCAGGGACCACGCCGGCGTGAGGCTCGGCATCGGCACCGCCTCCGGCTGCGCTGTCCGGGGCAGCCGCAGGGCGAGCGAGCGGCGGGCGAGCCGGGCGAGGGCGGCGTGGCACTCTCGCCTCGCGTGTCCTCCTCGCAGCGCCAGCCGCGCCGCGCACGCCGGCAGCCCGCGCGCCGAGACGGAGCCGCCCCGAGGCTCGCACTCGAAGGAGAGGTGCGCCCCGAGGTGCGCCCTGTCGCCGCCGCAGGCGCGGGCGGTCGCGTTCGCAGCGGCGGCCTCGGCGGCGGCCTGTATCCGGGAGCACTCGTCGCAAGAGCCTGGCGGGACGGCTTGGTCGTCGAACTTCGCCGTGTAGACGCACGGGGCGATGCCCGCAGCAGCATCAACAGCAGGGGAGGAGGAGGCGGAGCGGTTTGGGGCCGCCTCCGCCGCTGCGGCGATGGCACGCGCTAGCTCCGTCGAGCGGACGAGGACGTGCACTCCGGGGAAGGCGCCCGAGTACCAGGAGTGAGACCGGCCCTGGCGGGAGACCTTGAGCCAGAGCCCGCGCGGCGAGACGACCACCTCTGACGCGTGCGCGGCCAGGCGGAGGAGGTGGTCGGTCGCCTCGAGGCGGCGGAACGCCTCCCGCCGCTTCGTGCCGAGCAGGTGGAGCACCAGCAGGGGCCGGCCCTTCCCTCCCTCCGACCCGCCCCCGCCCCCGCCGCCGCCCTCCAGCCCGCCGTCCGGCGGCCGGCCGGCGTAGAGGGCGCCGTCGCGCCACGTATAGACGAGCCGCGAGTCGTACTGCCGCATCCACCACCCCTCCTCGGACGGGCCAGACCCGGAGGGCCGCTGCGCCGAGCCGCCGCCTCCGAGGCCCCGCCGGTCGTAGACGTAGTCATCAGCGAGCCACCAGCGCGTCTCCGGAGGCTGAGGCGCGTAGGAGCGGACACGGCCTTCTCTTGCCGCGCGCGCGACGACGGTCGGCATCGGCTCGCGCAGCTTGCCCCACCACTCGTCGAAGACCTCGTACGTGCCGCTCCTCGCCACGCGGCGCAGGTCGGCGCTCTCGTGGGCCAAGTTGTTGACGGGCTTCGAGTTGCGGTAGAGCATGAAAGGGCCGGCGTTGAGCATCGGAGGCGGCAGCGGGGAGAAGATGTCGTGGGCTGCCAAGGTCGCGGTGTCGAAGAAGGAGCGCACGTCCCCGAGCAGCTGGTCCTCCTAATGAATTAATCAGCACCTTTTCAAGTATCTGCTCTCCCCGAGCGCTCGTCCTCCTGCACGCCACGGGCTGTGAGAGGCGCGCCGCCCAGCTCATCACTCGAGCCGCCGCCAGCTCTACATCTCGTCTGCATCTCCTATCTCGGCCACATCTCGAGAGAGCGCCTGCATGTAGCCCCAGAAGGCGCACCTCCGGAGCAGGTCTGGGTAGAGGGCGCCGAGCAGCGGCTTGAAGTCGGAGATCTTCGAGCTCGAACCTAGTGCGAAGACCGCCTCCACTGCCAGCGACTGCTAGCGACAGGTGGCCGGTGTGCTGTGCTGTGCTGTGCTGTGCTATGCTGTGGTGTCCTGCGGTATGGCATGTGCGTGTGTTGGTGTGTTGGCCGAGGTGCTGCACCGTCGAGCTTGAGCGAGGGCGGCGCGGCGCCGAGCAGCGCGCGCACGCGCAAGAGGACGTCGGCGACGGAGGCGCGGTGAAAGGCGCAGTTTTCCGGCCAGCGCGCCAGCAGCGGCCGCTTGTCGCCGAGCAACAGGAAGCGGACGGTCGGGTTGAGCTGGAGCTGCGGGCGGCGGAGAGGGCGTGTCGTGGAGATGGCGTGGAGGTGGCGTGTACTGACGATTCGTGGGCGTGGCTCTGCGAGGGTAGTCGAGGGTGGCAGCAGGCAGAGGCAGTTGGCGGTGAGTCCACCGTCCGCATCGTGACTGAGATCCACGGAGGCCAGCCGCCCCAGCGCATCATCACGAAGCAGAGCGAGTCCGCTCCGTAATCGAGCATCTCCAAACGTATGACGGGTTGCTGCTGCAGCGGCAAGCCGCGACTAAGCGGTGGGTTGGCGGGCACTGAAATCCTGCCATCTATAGAAAAGAAGGTTCCGTCGTGTCATAGAGGGACACATTCCGAGTCCTATTGGCGTGTCCGTTGTATTTATTTATTTATTTATTCCGAGTCCTGACCTCTAGGTCCTGACGCTCGCTGCGATATCGCCCATCGTCCGTGCCCTCCAGAGCTCCACGATAAGCGCAGACGTCTTGCGAGCGCGCGGTGCAGCGCTCGGATCGAGACCGTCGACGCCGAAGCGAACGACGGGTTCCGGAGACCGGAAGGCCCCCCTTTCGCCTCTGAAAGAGCCAGTCGATCCGACCCACAGGCACAGCGCCAGCGCGGAGTCGTGCAGGAAGCGACGTGTGGCTGTCTGCTCAGCCGGGCTCGCTGGCCTGCGTGCATGCAATCGAGCGCGAGTGGCTCCTCGCGGCGCCATGCATCGAGGGGCTGCATTGTGGGCGACCGAGCCGTATCGATGGGGCCGTCGGCTTGCCATGCCCTCCATCGCCCCAGCTCCAGACACTGCCGTCAGCGGTGAGGGCGAGGCTGTGGTCAGCGCCAGAGAGCCGTAAAAGAGGCTGGCGTGCCCACTGCTCACCGTTTGGGGCGCCGCAGTGAGTCACTGGAGCGGCCGCACACTGCTCGGTACCCCCCCTGCACTTTTGTTGCTGGGGGGGTGGGGACCCCCCCCCCCCCCCAGCAGCAGCGCTCTGCTGCTGGGGGGTCAGACCCCCCCCCTAGCAGCAGAGCTCTGCCTGTGGGGGGTGCTGGCATCTCTGTACAGACGACAGCTGTAAGTAGGAAGCATGCGTTCCAAGTGGCGAGAATTTATGGTCGGCACCAAAATCAGTGGTCTCACCGGCGGGCCCTCCTACTGCCAGCCGGGCGGTGCGGGGCACGCCAGCCTCTCTTCTACGCCTCTCGTGCCTCGCGGCGCCTCTGCTTCAAGGAGGGAAGATACGGCTCCCGCAGCTGTGGCGTGGCACAGCGGAGAGCACAGCGGGCGGTACAAGTCCATCTCAGACATGGTTCCCTATCTTCGCATGCTCGTTGTTGGTGATATCCGCGCGAGGTCATACGCCACAGGCCAGCAATCACTCGGCGATGAGACTACTGATTTGGCGCGACGCTCTGACACCGAGTGTTGCTCGACGCTGCGACACCGTCGAGTACCGCGTGCAGCGCTCAACCTCGGGGAGTACACCTCTCGCTATCATCCCGCTTCGCGGCGGTCGGGCTGCTTGATTTGTCGGAAGACACCCACATCTCTGCTGCTGGAGGAGAGCTTCCGATAATCATAGTGGGTTCGCGATGGACCAGCCAGGGGGGCGGCGGCGGCGAAGAGGCGGGAGCTGAAACCAGTGCGCTCTGCTGCTGGGGGGCTCGGGACCCCCCCCCCAGCAGCAGGGACGGGCTTATAAGTGCAGGGGGGGTACCCAGCAATGTGCGGCCGCTCCTGTTTTGGGGGCCGGAACATACAGTCACCGTCCGTAAACTCTCGCCCAACTGGACACGCACTCTCGCGCACGCGAAGCTTCCCTGTATGTAGATGTACAGTAGACCAGCCTCACATCGAGTCCATTCGCCCTGCGCCAGCCCTCCACAGTCCCGCTTGTGCGATCACGCGACGGCCTCGCACGAGCTCAGGCGATCGAGGAGGCCTCCTCGACGTTGCTGTTGCCGTCGTTCTCAGTGACGGCGGCTGGCGACTTCGCCGGCGATTTGGAGGCCTTGGCTGGCTGCGGCGCAGCCTCGGAGGAGCGCTTCTCGCCCACGACAGCCTCCGGGTTCTTCGCCGCTTCTTCCATTGCGGGCGTTTCCGGCGACACGGGCGAGGCCCCCTCCACCGCCACTGGAGCCGCCTCGGTCGCCTGCTCGGACGACGCCTTGGCGTCGCCCTTCATCTTGTTGGCTGGCGAGGCCGTGTCCATCTCCTCCTTCTCCTCCGCCGGCGTCACGGGCTTGCAGTTGGGCGAATCGAGAGCGATCTCGACCATATTGCGTGCAAGGGCCGCAGAGGGCGTCGGCGGCTCGTCAGCGGTGGTGGCGGCGGTGTTCGACACCTGCGCAAGCACTCGAGCGGCGGGGTGGCGTCGGGTTATTGTGTGTGGGGGTGGCGGCAACCTGGCTATGCGTCGCGCGCAGGAGAGCGCTCGGGCGCGCGGAGTTCGGGCGTTCGGCGGGGCGGCGGGCGAGGGAAGGTGTGCGCGAGCCTCTTGCTTGGGCGCCGCGGGCTCGCCGGCGGACGGGGTGGGGTCGACGGTGGCGATCGACGTGTCCGCTGCGGGCGGCTCTGCGGCCTGCGGAAGTGAGTGGTGATGGGGCGTGAAGCTGCTTGGGTGCGATGCGTCGATCGTCGGTGACGCGCACGCAGGGGAGGGGTGCGTAAGGGTGTGTTGACGCGCCGGCTGCTTCTCGAGGCTCGTGGGCGCGGAGATCATCTCCTCGACGGCGGCGGCCGGGATCATCGACTCGGTGGCAGAAGACATGGTGCGAGGAGTTCAGTATTGTAGGAGGGCAGAGTGCTCGAGGCAGAACAAATCGCGATGCGCGTCACTGGCTCTTCAACGCGCGCACTGGCTCTTCGACGCGCGAGCGCCACAAATTAGCCGCGCCAAACCGCGTCCCCAAACCCAAAGAACAAAACCAGCGCGCCTCGGAGTGGTCGTCCCGGTCCATGTCCCGCCATGTGCGGTGCCGCATGTGCGGTCCCGCGCAGGGCAACAACAGATATTCTTGTTGTGGTTGGAATAAGCAACAAATCTCACACTGTCGCCACTCGAGGCGCGCAGACAGCTATTGTGCCAGGTAAGAGCGAATGGCGCGGTTCACGCCTCGCACACAGAGAAGCGACCGGTGCTCTCGTCTGCATGTGGTGCTTTGGTGGGTCATCTCTCGTTAGGAGAGCGAGTGTATTTGGTCAAGGAGCCCCGCGTGCGCTCCGCTACGCGGCCGCGCGCGCGACCCTGCGCGCAGGCGCTTTTGTGTGCGCGGCACGCGCTCTCTCGCCGTCTCAAAAACCACACGCAACGTGGAAAGTGGATCGAATAGATGTGCGCAACAGCGCCTCGATGAAGATTAGATACCGGAGGAGCCAGGAGCGGAGCGCCGCGCCGAAGGAAGTTTGAGGGTTGAGGAGGGCTAGATACGATTCATCAAGAGCTTGCTCCAACCCTAAGCAACACTCTCAGAGCCCACCCACTGCGCACTGCCCCCCCGCGTATAGGCCTATATGCCTGCGCGCGCAATATGTCTCTACTTTTACTGGCAAGAAAAGGATGAAGAAATAAAAAATAAAAGCGGACACCTCTACTGTGAGATGGGTAAAAAGGAACAGGTACCCGCCCTTGCGATCTTTGTGCAGGGTTCTTTGTGGGTGTGGTCGGCGACTAGCCGGGGTCGTCCTCCCGATCGGGGACTAGCACTAGCCGTCTTCCACATGGTCCCTCGGGTCCCTGCTGCTCCTAATCTCTTCGTCATCCTCCTGCTGATCTCCGCAACGTCCTGCTCCCTCCCTCGTCTCGCCCTGCGCGACTGCTCCGCCTCACCGTCGTCTGCCCTGCGTCGTCTGGTGACGGGACCTCCATAGAGCATAGTCGGTTGAGTATGAAGAACGTACTGTGTACTGGTTTCTCGGGGTTCCGTTGGCCTTTGTAGGGAAGAATTTTGAATCCGTCAAAACGCCTGCTTGGGGCAGCTTTTCAGAAGCCGTCTGCTCCCCAAGTTGTCAACAGCAGGCGCTGCGGGCGCGCCGCGGCCGGCCGCGCGCTCGGCCGCCTCCCCGGCGCGCGCGCATGTGTCACATGATGTCATCAAGGGATGTGTCCGGGTTGCGGGTAGCGCCGGGGCGCTCTGCGCACGAAATCACGCTGGCCCCTCGTGTTTCCACGCCCCGGGGTGGTCCCGCGGCGGGTCTCCGGTCTCCGGACTCCGCGGCGGCCAGCAGTGAAATCCAACGCGATTACGTAATAAATACGCCACTGGCACTGGGCAGTGTCCGGGGTCCTGGCCGCCCCTGCAAAGGTAACGACAAAAGTTGTGCATTACCAACCCGCGGCCAGGACACCGCACCGACCCGAATATTGCAAAACGAAACGAACGAGACGCGTTCTTCCTCTAGTCTCCACCGCCGATGACGCCTTGATCACGTTTGATCGTTCGGGCTGCTCGGCGGGGCCGCACCGCCCATCGCGACTGCGCTCTCCGCTGCAGCCTCCGGCGCCGCATCCTGCGGCCTCAGGATCACGTCCAGCAGCAGGCCCGGCTCGTCGAGGCGCATCTCGTTCATGTACAGGTCCTACGGCGAGTGGTGTCTGCTGACGTGCAGCCGGGAGAGGGGTCGCGCACCTCGTTTGTGCTGACGCGCCTTGAAGCGCGCGTATGCGTTGACGACATCCCCCTACGGCCAAGGTCCGAGAGAGGTGTCCGAGCTGTAGCCGAGAGTCCAGCCGAGAGGCAGCGCTCGACGCTTCCTGCTTGTCCCTCCACTCAAACCCGACCGGAGGCACAGGCAGCAGCGACCGAACTCCGACTCTGGCGGCGGTGTTGTCCTGCGGGCGGCGCAAGCAAGGGTCGGCTGCCGGTGTGCGCAGCCTGGCTGAGCGGGATGCGGCCACAGTGGAGGCGCGAGGAGGCCGCGCCTGGAAGACGCCTCGCCCGACGCCGTATCCAAGCTGCTGCGGAATGAGCACTCGGCGGATGCCGCCCGGCTTCATCGGAGGGATGCCGCCGCGGCCAAGGACGGCCATGTCGAGCCCCTCGATGACGCTCCCGTCCCCGAGCACCCACGAGAAGGGCTGCTGCGAGTCCTTTGTGCTGTAGATCTTCCCGCCGGCCATCGGAGTCACGCCAATGTTTCGCGTCATCATGTAATCGACCGTGACTCGCTCGCCGTCCCGCGGCACGCCGCCGACGCCCTGCCGAATGTCTGCCCAGCGCAAACCACTCACATCCAGTGTGAGGTCGATGGCAGCCGCCGGAGACGGTCGCAGTGCCGCCGCCGCGGACACTGCCGCTGCGAAGGGCAAGCGCAAGGCGGTGCGCCTGTCGAGAAGGAGGTGTCCAGCGCTGCCGGCTGGAAGGCGAACGGACGTCGAGACAGCTGGAAGGCGAGAAGAAGAGACGGAAAGAGCGGCGCATGAGAGCACGAGCATTCTCTTTGCGCCTGGCGCATTTTTTGTCCTTTTTTCCTCTCTCGAGGTGCTCGAGGTGGATACTCGAGTATCCTTTGGCCGCGTTGGGTAGCGAGGATTGGTGTAACCCGAGCCACATTTGGGAGAGAGATTTTTGAAGACCAACAAGAAATCACGACGCGCACAGTGACTTGGGCTCGGCAGCTTGTTCGCCCTCAGCCGAAGCTGGGGCCGGTCCCGTAGCCGAGAGAGCCCGCGCCGATGAGTTCGACGCGGTCGGGAGGCGTTGCGAAGAGGCCAGCGAGGTGGCGATCGCTGTACTTCATGGTCGTCATCAGTATTTGTCCGCGTCTCTCTTTCTTTATCCTGCCACTCTCGCCTCGCGGCCTGGGTTCCGGCTCCCGGCTCCTACCCAGATAGCAAAACAAAACAAACATCTCTCTCTCTCCCAGATAGGGGGTCTGGGGCTAGCTATGCAATAGGTAGGTAGGTCCGGTTTTGACCGCCCCAGAGGGCCCCGCAATAGGTAGGTACCCCCTATTTTCGTCTTTTTTCGCTTCGCTGCGCGCGGCCTGGGGACAGGTAGATAGGTTACGGCGTTTTGGTGCGAGTTCCAGACCCCCTATCTGGGTAGGAGCCGGAACCCTGCTGTCGATACACACATTTGCATACACACGTGTATAAATAAATACAACGGACATCCCAAGCTAGGGCTGGGTCGAGGACAGACACGTCCCCACCTTTGCAGGATTTTGCAAAAGCGAGGGGGGAGGGCGCATCGCCGCGCGGAGAGGGCTGGGCACAGGGCACAGGGGATCTCTCTCGCATAGGATATGCACTCGGCGGCACGAGGGCAAGGCTGGGCGTCCTATGTTTGTGCTCCCCCCCGGACCCCTCGCTCTCGGGCACTAACCATCTGACCACTCATCGACGGGGCTTGGCGAGCGGCCGCGCTGCGGGGTAGGGCTGGTGAGAATGGGCTCTGGCCACTCGCCCGTGCGGTTGTAACCCCGCATCTGTCGGACAGAGGCCTCGACCGCCCCTCGCGGCAAGCTCTCGAGCATCTCGAGCAGCTCGCCCGCCGCCATCGCCGCCTCGAACTGCTCCCTCATGCCGAGCGCGCCGCATACCCTGCGGACCGCCTCCTGCGGCACCTCGTCCGGCACTTGGAGCACTTGGAGTGCAGTCATTAACCTCACATCCAGGGCCGGGGAGCTGAGAAGCGCACCCAGCGAGCCGGATGATCGGCATCGGGCTACGGGCTAGAGAGCCCTGACCCCTAGCTAGGGGGGGTGCGCATTCGCAGGGCAAGGGCCTTAAAGTAAACACGGGTCTCCGAGGGTTAGCTCCGCGCTCCAGGTTTCCCCTAGCAGCAGAACGCCCCCTCTACAGTGGGTTGCGGGCATTAAGAAAACGTCGCATTAAGAAACCCTACCAAGCGATTTCCGCAAAAATCTAAGAAACCACGGGGCGCCGCAGGCGCGGCCCCGAGAAAAGGCCAGACACGAGTGTGAACGGGTCCGGAGCCCCAGCTGCAGCTCAAAATTTCTCTTCGCCTGGGCCTGCGGCAGCGCACTTGTCACTTTTCAAGTCTGCGGTGTTCTGAGTGGAGTGGTCAGTGGATGGAGGCGTGTGTGCGTCTTCCCCTCATCCAGAGAGCCGACTCGGCGGCAGACTCTTGGCATCGCCCTCGCGGACCGAGCTTTAACACTCACTCTTCTTACCTAAAAATCCTTCGGGCCGGCGCTCTGGCTTGATTGAGTGCCCCGCCCGGAGCTAAGAAACCACGGCGTGGGGTGGATGAGGGCTGTGGAAAGGCTTAGAAACGGCGGCGTGCCGCGGAATGCTGTTTTCTTAATGCCCGCAACCCACTGTACTCGGAGCTAGGCTCGGCGTATCTTATCGGTTTCATAGCCGGACGAGTCAGCGGAGGCGGCCCGCTTGGCGGGCGGAGAGTCGGGCGACGGCGAGCGCGACTGGCGCGAGGGCCTGCTGCCGCGCGCGGACAGCGCGTTCTACACACGTGTGTATATGCTGCACGCATTCCTCGCCGCATGCGCCTTTCGCTCTCCCGGCGTTCGTCCTCCCGCCACTCTGACCTCACGCAGCGGCGCTGGCCCTCCAACCGTGCGCATGTTCGCCGCCGACGCGAGCGCGGCCGAGGTCAGCAGCGACGCACCGGCACAGCTCCGACCTCAGCACGAGCTCGCCAAGGCGTGGTGGCCCGTGATCCTCACGCATGGGCTCGACCGCTCGCGTCCTCACCCGGTGCAGCTGCTCGGCCAGAGCCTCGTCGTGTGGCACGACGGCGCGGCGTGGCGCTGCTTCGCCGACGCGTGCGCCCACCGGTTCGCTCCTCTGTCTGAGGGCCGCGTCGAGGGCGGCTGCCTGCAGTGCAGCTACCACGGCTGGTCGTTTGACGGCGGCGGCGGCTGCGCACGCGTCCCGCAGGCGCAGCAGCCCCACGCCGCCGGCGAGCGAGCCCGTGTCGGCGCCTTTCAGACGCGCGAGGAGGCGGGCATGCTTTGGGTGTGGGGCGACGCCGCCTCCACCGTGGCCGAGGCGGAGGCGGCGCTGCCGCTCCCCCTCTCGCCGCTCCTGCGCCAGCTTTGCGAGCGATCCCCCGCCGCCGGCTTCCAGCGCGACCTGCCCTACGGCTACGAGCTGCTCGGCGAGAACCTGCTCGACGTCTCCCACCTGCCCTTCTCCCACCACGGCGTCGGAGGGCTCGCGCGGGAGGCGGGCGGATCGCTCGAGCTCCGCCCGCTCCCGCCCTCGCCGCCCGCGCCCGGGGCGGCCCGCTTCTCGGCGGCGGTCCTGCAGCCCGCGCGGGACGACCCGGTGCTCAAGGGGATGGCGGCCGCCTTCCCGTCGGCGAGCGAACCTTCCGAGAACCTTCCGAGACAGCCCGAGAACGCTTCCGAGACACGCCCGCGCGGCACTGCGACCCGAGACCCCTCCTCCCCGCCCCCGTGCTTCCCACAGATGGTCGACTCCGCCGCCGCGTCGGTTAACATCTCCTTCTTCGCGCCGCAACACGTCCGGTACGAGCGGCGGCCGAGGCCGGGCGCCGCGGCCAACGTGGAGCTCTTCCTCTGCCCCACAGCCCAAGGCCGCTCGCGCGTCTTCCTCTTCAACGCCTTTGCCGCCGGCGCGCGCCCAGCCGTGCCCGCGTCGCGGATGGCGCGGCTGCTGCTCTCCAAGGCTGTTGGCGCGGTTCGGCGCCTCCTGGTCGGCGGGCCGCCGCCGCGCAGCTTCGGCGCGCCAGGCACCGTCGCGGACCACATGCTGTCGCACCTCATCTTCGACGGCGACGGCATCTTCCTGCACTACCAGGGCCAGCGGATGGCCGAGCGCGGCCTGAGCTTCCGCGACTACTTTACGCCCACCTCGGCAGGCGCGCTCGTGCTGCGCTTCCTAGACACTTCCTAGACACTTCCTAGACACTTCCTAGACACTTCACCTCGCCCACCTCGGCAGACGCGCTCGTGCTGCGCTTCCGCACCTGGCTCTCCTCGGCACGGCGCGGGAGCGACCCAGCGGTCGCGGCGGCCGCGGGCAGCGAGGCGGGCGAGACGGGCGAGGCGGGCGAGCGCGGCGGGTACGGCCGCAGCCTCGAGCGGGCCCAGCTGCTCGACCGGTACGACAGCCACACGCGCCACTGCGCCGTCTGCTCCGCGGAGCTCGATCGCGTGCGTGCAGCCGCCAAGCTCTGCAAGCGGCTCGGCGAGGCGTGCATCGCGCTCGCGGGCGGCGTGCTCGCCGCGGCTCTCGGCGGCGCCGCGTCGCCGCGCGTCGCGGGCGTCGTCGCCGCGGGCGGTGCGCTCGCGCTGTGGCGCCTCGAGAGGGCGCAGGCGCAGCTGCTTCGGGAAGCAGCGGCTTTCATATTCGTCGATTATGTGCACGCCGACCGGGACTGAGCCTCGAGCTGGCCTGGGGCTCTAAACTCCAATCCTCATCGCACGTGGCCCAGAGCTGCGCGTTTTGATCGAATACAGAGAATGCAGGAGCCCGCGCATGTGTGTGCTTGCAGCGTGACCCTCCCTGCCTCCCTGGACTCTCTGCCTGTCTAATCTCACTATGTATGATGGGTAAATAAAGTCAACTCTTAGGCGAGGATAGAGTACTGGATAGGGATCGCACGCATGTGTCCGCCCGCCCTCGTGGATCTTCACAATCCGTCTCCCCTCACCCCTCGTCACAACCCGACACAGAAGAGCGGCAAGAGTTGGGGGCTTGTATGGCATGTGGCTGCTGTGCTACGGCTGCGGCTCCGAGAACTCTGTTGTATGTGTAAAACTAAAAGAGTGAGGGCAAAGAGATTTCGTCGCACGTCGGGGGGGGGGGGGGGGTGAACAGGAAACGAGAGCGTCGGAAACGATAAAGGGTGTGGACGCTGGGTTGACCGAAACCGAGGGACGCGACCCACTTCGCCACAGACGGTCCCGCGCCTCGCCGCTAAGTTTGCGGCACGCCCCGCACCGTCCGCTGTGCCGCGTTTTTTGCCCGGAGTGAAAAGTCCAACGCGCTCGTCGGTGACGGTGTCCCTCAACCTGCGCCGCGCTCGGCGAACCTCGACAGCGCTTTCGGTGGCATGCAGCTCTTTGCGACAGAAGCCTGGAGAGCAGCTCCTCTGCTGCTCACACACTCTGCACAGTTGACACAGCCTACTGTGCGGCTGCCACAGCCGTGACAGCGATGGGCTCGCCCTCACTGGCCCTCAGTCACTTGTGCTGCGGCTTGTGTGAGCGACACTGCTCGGCGACTGCCGGCACACTGTGAGACCATGGGCGTGAGGTTAAACCACGCTACCAGCGCTTGGTCACATCGGCCCCGAGGTCAGATCCATCTACTCTGTTGATGACAAGACTTGTCTACTGGCTGGAGCCGAGCAGGAGGGCCCAGCGCACAACCCCTGGTCAACTCACGGTCCACACCCCGTATTCGGAACCCCGGAAACACATATGAGCAAGACGTCGAATAGGAAACGAGACGGGCACGCACGTCCTATCTATAGTATTACTGCGCAGCGCCTCGGCACGTCGTATCCTCGTAAGTTCGGTACGATGTGTTCTACCCATCCAGCGCCCAACTCGAGCCACGAGCGGCCGCGCAGTTGTGTGAAGCGTTGGGCGTCCAAAGAAGCTCCTATTTCATCATCTTGTTCCCCACCAGCGCCATGGCCTCCCCGTGTGAGAGCTTTGCAATCCCCCACTTCTCGAGGCAGCCCTCTGCCACGCCCTGCATGTGCGCGCTCAGCCCCGCATCCATCGGGTCCGAGCCCCGCAGGTGGCGTGTTATGTGCTTGATGGCGAAGTCGACCGCGTACATGTCTCTCGCCCACGCGTCAGACCCGATGTGGGTGCCTATTCACGCGACACGCTCGTGCGAAGATACTCCACATCTCGCGTGGGAGTCGGTGATGGCACCGTGCAACCCAAGACGGTACTCGTGCTCAATGCCGCTGTCCGCAAGCACGCGATGGAGCATCTCGGCGCCCGCGTACGGGTAGAGCTCATCTCGGCCGCCGCAATCGATTAGGATCTTCGTGCCGTGCTCCTTGAGAGCCTGCTGCGCCGCCGGGTTGCTCGCGATCGAGATGGCGTTGTTGGCGTGGAAGTCGTCCTCGTTGAGCACCCCGTCCTGCGGTGAGGTGAGGCAAGGTCAGGGTCTTTCCACGCGCAGGAATGGGGGCGGGCAGTGCGTGCGTGTCGCCCTCCTTATCGGCGAAGACGACGAGCTCGTTCGCCCAGGAGAGGGGCACATTCGGGTGCTCGAGGTAGAGGTCGGCCGCCTTTGCGGTGGGTGTGATGGCTGCCGAGAGGCCACACACCACACCGAACACGTCGGGGTGCTTGAGCCCGAAGCGCAGCGCACCCTGGCCGGCCGAGCTGATACCCGTGATGGCAACTTCTGCTGGGTTATCGGAGCCAACGTTGAAGTGTTCCCGAACGTGCGGCAGCAGCTCTTTGACGGTGAACGTCTCCCAGTTTGCGCTCCCGTTCGTCCAGTCCGACCACCGCCCGCAAGTGTTGGACAACTCCGCCATCTGAGGGTGGCCTGCGCAAGTGGCGCACAGCAAGGCAAGCGGCAAATTGGCAGCCTAGTGGCAGGACGGCTCCTTGCACCAATGACGCGGACAGAGAGCGTGCGACAACAATCGAGGCCACCTTTGCACGGCTCATGATGCCGCTGACCTGGCTCTTGCTCAGGTCGGACGGGTCCATGAAGCCAAAGACCTATTGAGGCACGCACGGGCGGCACACAAGACTCACACACGGGGCGGCGGTGGGTGGGGCATGGACGCATCAATGCAGTAGGCAGCGGCGGGAGCGGGATGCATCGGCAGCGGGCCGGGAACCTGCTGCGGCTCCAGGATCATTGTATCCGGCATACCAGGTCCAGCGAGGCAAACCAGCAGCGGATGCCCGCCCTCCTTGTCGGGGTCGTACGCCTCGGGCAGCACGAGCGTGAACGGCACCTCTCCAGAGAAGCCCTCGTATGTGATCTGGGCCGTCTTAAGCGTCCCCCGGTGCACGGTGAAGGGCATCCCAGAGTAGCCCGCCGCCGCATACATCGAGCGGGACGCGGCGCGTAGGACAGCAGCCGTACGTCGGCTGCGATGCGGGAGCATGAGCATGTGTTGCGGCAACGGGGCGCGAGCGAGGCCGACACCCGTCGTTCGTCCGTCCCATCCGAAGTGGAACAAAGAAGAATTTAAACAAGACAACTCTCTCTCACAGCACACAGGCTCGACACAGGTGCGAACTGGCGCGTGCTAGTACTATCACCGGCACACCAAAGAAGAACGAGCGTAAGGCCCGTGCCCAGTGTCGTGCAAAAGAAGAAGGCTCCGCGCCAGGCGGGTTGCTGTGAGCATAAACAAATAAATAGAGCAGGCATCTCCATGAGAGATGGGCGACGCACGAACACAGCGCGCACCCCGCCCCGTTTGGTGCCCGTTTGAGATAGGGCGTGCATCACACAGGCACAGGCAGGACAAACACAAATGACGTGTGAGTGTTAGAGTTGGTTGGTATTGCTAAAAATCTCAGGCAGGCGCAACAGGCACGGTGTCTCCTCGTTTCGTCTTAGGATTCCTAGGTGTTTTTGTTATGTTCCGTGGGAGAGTGTTGATGCTCACAAAACACACAGTCGTCCACAAAAAAAGAAAATTGAAATCGGAAACTTCCGCCGACTTCTGTCGGTCGGGAGACTCACGTGCAAAACTAGCGAGATCTCATACCCCGGCGTCGAGTCGCCTTGTTGCGGGCTCAGGCCCTTGCTTTTTTGCAGCCAACATGACGCGAGCGACGCTCGCCTACGAGGAGACGCCGCTGAGCGCCGCGGCGCTCAAGCAGTACCGCGGCTCAGTCCTCCTCTACTGCAACGGCAAGCGGCACGAGATTGCCGCCGCCGACGCTCAGATGACGCTGCTCGAGTGGCTGCGCTCAGAGGGTTACACAGGCACGAAGCTCGGGTGCGGCGAGGGCGGCTGCGGCGCGTGCACCGTCGTCCTCTCCTCGCGCGGCGACGGCTCGGAGGTGCGGCACTCCGCCGTCAACGCATGCCTCATGCCGGTCTGCGCGGCAGACTGGTGCATGGTCACCACTGTGGAGGGGATCGGCTCGTCGCGCCGCGGCGAGGTACATCCTATTCAGGAGCGACTGGCCGCGCTGCACGGCTCGCAGTGCGGCTTCTGCACGCCCGGCATCGTCATGGCTCTCTACGCCGCGCTCCGCACGTCGCCAGACATGTGCGCGACCCCGAGATGCGTTGAGAGTGGCAGCCGGGAGAAGAGGGGTGGCGAGCTGCGAGCATGCACCCCGTCCGAAAGAGACCACTCGCACCAGCGCCCGCCGGTTTCTTGCCCGAGCGGGAGAGGCACGAGGCGGGAGGGCGGAAGCGGCGGCACCGTGCAGCCCGGCCTCACGTCCCTCTGCCGCTGCCGCAGGGCCTCACGTCCCTCTGCCGCTGCCGCAGGCGCGCGGAGGAGCTGACGGAGAAGCTGGACGGGAACCTCTGCCGCTGCACCGGTTACCGGCCCATCCTCGACGCCGCCGCGTCGCTCTGCATCCGCGACGACGGCGGCAGCGGCTGCTGCGGCGGCGGCGGCGGCGAAAACGGCGGCGGCGGAAACGGGTGCGGCAGTGGCAACAAGGGGTGTGGCGGCGGGGGCGGGGCGGGCGGTTGCGCCGCGTCGCTGCCCTCCGACTGTAAGCTGCTTCCGGACGGCGACGTGGTGAGCAGCACCGCCTCCAAGCTGGCCAAGCACACGACGCCGTACGCGGTGACTGACGCA